GCTCCTAAACATGATCCAGACTTTAAGCTGTGGGTGGATTATAATATTGGCAATCAGTCCACTTATCCGATTCTAAGATCCGGACAAAGTCCTGGCGACAACGAATGTTGATTATTGGTAGTTTTTCCTATAATTGTTAGCTCCAAATAAGGATGGCTATAACCGAACCTTAGGATTTCTGACCTGACCATTGTTTAAGTTGAAAATTCTAATTCCAATCTATTGTCACATAATTTGTAACTTGTTTTTTCTTCAGTTTGTTTGTTCGTAGTTAAGCACAAAGATGCACAACGGGCTATCTGTAGCGTACCTACCACGGGTATCGAAAACCGGTTTTTAACGTTATAAATCCGCAGACTTACCGCTATGTACCACTGGGGGCTTATAAATTGAGTAAGTTAATATTCTTGGATCATCAAAAGCTTGTGGTATTTATTGTAAAATATTGTAACCAGGAGTAAGAACTTTGAAACTGAAGGTTCACAGTTCGCGACTTGTTGCCTCAAAAGCGTGTTCCGCACTTAGATCATATCCCGCTATTTGGAGTAACCAAGATTTGATGATGAGTGTTCTGAACTAGCTGCCTTTCCTCTTGTCTAAATTAGGGACGGAAAAACGTAGAAAGATGTTTTTCATTATTTTGCGCGAAATTGTAAACAAACAATTTGCTAGAACACTAACATTATATGGATAAAAATGTGACGTATAAAAAAGTAAACGATGTTTAGATTGGGATGAGCGTTAAGGGATAATTTTTGCCATCTTTAATACGTATACGTAATAAGACTCCTTTTATTAGCTTTGCTATCAGTAAACCGCAACCCAATTACACGGAATAACAATAAAGCACAAACAGATTCGTTTATTACAAAAATGCGACAAGAATCAAAATTAATTTTCTAATAATAATCCTTTCTCGAGGCCTATCTTGATAATAGGCAATTCGGCTCCAAATGGCTGAACCCTAACTTTTGAATATTTTACTAATACTTTTTAGGAAGAATAATCATTCTTCAGCTTATTCTGCTTGAAAGCGAAGGGGTACCTTTCAAAAAAGTTTTACAGAAGTTAGAAAAGGTGGAGTTTTCTACTCAGAAATGCACAATGCCTTGCAAAAGTATTCACCCCTCTGCAAAAGTTTCACATTTTGTTGCCGTCTGAGCTGGCAATCATGAAACATTCAAAAGGGACTTTATACTTAGAATCTAACACAATCTACTACGAACTAAGAAAGCTAAAAAACGCTGATATTATGTAAGTAAGTTAGATTTTCAAAGAAAATTGGAATATTCTCAAATGTATAAGTATTCAACCCCTTTGCTAAGGTAACCCTAAATCAGTGCAGGTCCAAAAGATTAGTTTGAAAGGTCACAAAATGAGTATAATGGTCTCTGTCTATGTGTAATCAAAATGGTTTAACTTGTCTTCAGAGTAAATACATCTGTTCAAGCCACAACTCACATAGTGATACAACGAACCAACCATGAAGACCAAGGAGCTTTCCAAACAAGTCAGGGATACAGTGGTAGAAAAGCACAGATCAGGAGAAGGTTACAAGGAAATTTCGAAAAAATCGCTGATTATCCATTTGAAGGCGGTGAAGTACATCATTAAAAGATGGAATGTGCTACTTACCACTAAATCACTACCCAGATCAGGTTGCCCTTCCAAACTAAGCAGTCGGGAAAGTAGGAAACTGATTAGAGATGCCACTTTGAAGCCAACAGTGACTGAAAGATTTGCAAAGTTCCATGTCTGAAATGGGAGTCAGTGTTTATACATCGACAATATCCCGGTCCCTATTCAAAGCTGGCTTGTGTGGGTGAGTGGCAAGAATGAAGCCATTACTCAAAAAGAATCATCTTAAATCTCGTATGGAGTCTGCGACAAAGCATGTAAATGATACTGAAGGCATGTGACAGAAGGCTTTATGGTAAGACGAGACAGAAACTGAGCTTTTTTTGGTCTAAATTCAAATCGTTACATCTGGTGCACGCCAAACACAGTACATCACCCAGTCAATACTATCTAAACTATCAAGCATAGTGGTGGCAGCATCATGCTATGGGGATGCTTCTCATCAGTAGGAACTGGGAAGCTTGTCAGCATAGAGGGGAATATGGATGGTGCAAAGTACAGGCGAATCTTAGAAGAAAACCTACTTGAGTCAGTCAAAAATCTAAAACCCGAAGCTCAAGGCCGAAACCACATTAGAGTGGTTTAAAAAGAAGAAAGTGAATGTCCTGAAGTGATGAGGCTTGAAGATTGCAGTCCATTAACGATCCCCCAACGAACTTGTCAGAACTGAAACAATTTTACCAGGAAGAATGGGCAAAACTTATACTATCCCATTGAACAAAGCTGGTAGAGATCTATCCAAAAAGAATCACAGCAGTAATTGCTGCCAAAGTACTGACTTAAGGAACTGAATAATTATGCAATCAGCAAATTTCAGTTGATATATTTTATTTGCAGGTTTTGTTGACATTCAACCTCCTTCACACATAACAGTGTTAAATTTGACGATTAGAGTTTTGAATAAAAACATGTTCATTAACAAATTATTTACATTATTTGTATTTCATCCAAATGTGACATTATTGGTAGGGGGAGAGTACTTTTGCTAAGGCACTGTTATAGAAATATAAACACCCTGAACAAAAGTGCCACTCTTTTTAAAGGTAGAATCTTTGTTACACCATCCCATTCGAACATAAATATGTAACGCACAGGAACTGATATGGACATTTGTATCATTCGTAATTCTTAATCCGAGACCATTTCTTAAGACTTAAATATATCAAATGATTTTTCCTTATTTTTTGAGCTTCTAAAAGCTTTTAGTAATCCATTTGATGCTAAAGTATAGCACTATCAAAAACCGCTTTAAGATATTGTGAAAGGTTTTGATTATTTGATAGTTTATACCAAAGGAGAAACAAAAACTAAGATTTCATTTATATTATTATATGTTAACAATATAAAAAGTCCGCTTATTAGAAACATATCACTTCACTTACTTTTTACTTCAACTATAAAGTACGATTTACGTACGCAGTGATTTAACAATTCCAACGTTAAATAACTTTTATAGGCCGACGTTAGTGGAAATAATACATAAAACTCCCTCTAGACCACACAATGTAAGCACATGACTTTCACAGTTGTAATGGGGAAAGCTTGATTGTGATTGGAAAACCTTTGAAGAAGCAATTTGTGTCTCATTATATATATATATATATATATGCCCAGCCCACCCCCTTCAGTGGCACAGCGGCATGTCTGCAGATTTG